CATAGATTGTATAGGCTTTCTTTGCTCTATTGTCTTTCTTTTTTTCTTTGCCTTGCTCTGACTGGGTTATTTCAAACTTCTTGTCTTCTAGCTCACTTATTTGTCTTCAGTTTTCTTTACTGCAAATGCTCTTTATTGCATTTTTCATTTCATTCATTGAATTCTTCAGTGCCAGAAATTGTTTCTTTTTTATAGTTTTGGTTTATTTAGTACATATATATATATATGTGTGTGTGTGTGTGTGTTTTATCATTTTGTTCATTTTTTTCTCCTAACCTCATTATTGTCTTTTTAGTTACCTTGTAGTTCATTGAGATTCTTCAAAAAGCTATTTTGAATTCTTTATTAGCTTGGTCACAAAATTATGTACCTTTAAACTTCTGAAATTGGAGATTATGGTCATCTTTAGGTGACAACATATTTCCTTGATATTTCATATTTCTTGTAGGTTTTGGTTGCTGCTTTTACATTTGAATTAAAAAAGACCTCCTAAAATCTTTACTAATTGCCTTCCTATGGGGTTTACTGTCACTGGTGGTGTTATATCTGAGATTTTCTCTGACTTTATATGGGTGAATGTGCTCCACTCTGCTTGCTACCATGGTTGGCAGAATTTTTAGGCTATTGTGTCTTCCTCGTTACAATTCACGAGGATGGCTACTGGAAACCTCTTATTTGTTTTCTCAAAGCTAGTGCTATAGCTCATGTTGTGTGTTTCTCTCTTGCCATAGACCCAGGTTTATTTTTCTGAGACCACCCAGTTTACCAGCTTTGTTGTCACTGCTTCCCTTAGAAATATTCACAAGAAGCCAGTTGCAGAGTGGGGAGAGGTGTGGGTTTGGCACTGGGGCCTTGTGGTTCCCACTGATCTGGGGGGAGATTCTTGGGTGAGGTACTCCTGGAGGCTCACGGAGGATTTCAGCTGAAATCCTGAGTGCAGTAGGCAGGAACTATGCTCATTTAATGTCTTTTGATATTATCATTTGTTTATTTCCTGATCTTCCCCCTCCCTCCATCACCAACTACCTGTCTCAGTGCCTAGGTTCTTTTTAGAGACACAGATTTCTCCAGCTGTGTCCAACACTACTGAAGTGGCTGGGCACTCACTCACTGTTCTTTTCCCCTGTGGCATAGTTCACCACCGTTGAATATTTCAGACTGTGCATTGTTGCCTTGAATGAGTGGTCCTTGGAATGCTCCTCTCACCTTCCCCACTGTGACCAACTCATGCTTCTTTTCTGTTCCAATAGTTCACTGTACTCCACTCTCAAGAAGGCTGGGGTTCCACAAAGTCTCTCTCATTCATGGGTGTCTGCCAAAGACAGCACTCTCCAGACTTTACCTGATCATAACCCAGATGGACTTAGGTAGGTTCACTGACTCCTGCTGGCTCTGCAGCCCATTCTGAGGTCTGTTTGATTATGGGATACACAGGTAGGCAAGATTTTTCCTGGGTCCCTTGGTCTATGGCCCTGGATACCACAACTCCCACAAGGTGTTTTTGCTCAAGAATGGATGTCTAATTCATTCTTACAAAAGTGGGACAAAAAGAAGGACTGTCTTTTACTGCTAAGATGCTAACATTCCTCCTTCCTCTGATAATTTTTAATCTCATACACTTACTCATGTAGATATGCAGCTTATATCTTTGACTATTGTGACACCAAAAGACACCAAGTCAAAATTTTTGTTTAAAGGGATTCTGTGTTGGTGTTGCCCCTAAGGTATCTGACAGAAATAATATAAAGCATGTCTGAAGGAAGACATTTTAAACTCAAGCCTCAGTGATTCCCACAGATAAATTTTTTTTAAATGCTAAATTAAGATAAAAAAAATCACTAAGCAGACAAAAATACAAGATACCTTGCTAAGAGTCAGCTATAACATCAAACTATAAAATCAGATTTGCAAAACTATGTAGTTAAATTATTAGATATTAATAAGAAATAAATATGTTTAATATGTTTAAATAATGGATGCTATGGAAAGTATGATGAAAGAATAAGAGACTATCAAAGATGACCACTCAGGAAAAGAACAAAATGAAACCTTTAGAGAGAAAACAAAATATTATCACTGAAATGTGAAATTAAACAGATGCATTAAACAACCAGTTAGCAAAACTTATGATAGAATAAATTATCTGGAAGAGAGATCTGTAAAAATTAAACAGAACACAGGAGAGAAATACAAATAATGGATGTTTGAGTGAAGTGGAGGGTAGAGCAAGAAGATTCAATGACAGACATTTAATTGTGGTTCCAGAGGCATATACTAGAAATATAAAGACAATTTCAGAATATTACCTGTGTTTGATAGATAGCACATCAGGCTTAAGTTTACCTTATTGAATGAATGGACATTAGAGGAAGCTGTGAATACCTCCGTGAGTAGAAGATGAACAGAATATATCGTAGATGTAAAATCAATCTTTTTGTTGTCATGATTGTTGGTTAAGATGATGACTGCGATGATGATGAAGAATGCAGTTTTCTGCTCTGTTCTCACAAAATTCTCTTTCTATTCAGTCTCACTGTGGACAGAACCACACCTAAGTCTGGCACGATCAATACACTCATGCATCACTTAATTGTGGGGAAACATTGAGCAATGAATCATTAGTCAATTTCGTTTTTGTCTGAACATCATAGACTGTACCTCCACAAACCTACTTGGTATACCTACTACACACCTATGCTATATGGTACTAGTCTTACAGGATCACCATCATTTATGCGGTCTGTTGGTGACTGAAATGTTGTTACGTGGCACATGACTGTACACATTCTGTCTGCTCCCATTTTTCCTTCCACATTGATCTCAAATCTTGCATTTATTTTCTAATTAGTAACTTCCTTCCTTCAGAATACTTTTCAAAAGAGTTCACCATGAAGCAAAGACAGATCTAATTTTGGGAAATGAACCCGTCTGCCTCACTTCTCAGACTACAGCCTTATGCTTCAATGGGGATTTTCTCATATTGTTCATTTTTGGTCCTAGAAGGCTGGGAAATGATTGGCGAAAAGAAAGTCATTCTGGATGGCTAATACTGACAGGTATTTGTAGTTTATAGACATAGTTTATTCCACTAATGTTGCAGTCTTTCTCCAGGGGAATCTCCAAGACTTCTACTTTACACAAACACAAAACTCTCAGCTACATGTGACATATATTTTCTAGGTTTCATGGCTTCCCATGATTTTCTTTCTAGTTTGAGTTCATCTGAATAAAAATATACTTGTGCTGGAGATGTTCTAATGACCACCTGAAGAGATGACAGCTATTGCATCTTGAAGAGGGCATGCAGTGTCTTATGCAAAAATATTATTTTGGTTATTTACTGTTTGGCCTGAAGACTTAGTGCTTAACTTCTCTGGACTGGCTCCAAGGAGAAAAAGAGAAAGGACTTCCAGAAATCCTGCCTCAGTTTTCTAATCCCCATATCCCTTGCCTAAGCATCCTCATCCTTACATGAGTTCAAATCACTCTACTTCTACAGAAGTCTTGAATCTAGGAACCATGAATAGACTTGAGGGTGACAGAGAATCCAATAAAACCATATGCAGAGGTGATAAGTGGCTGCAGTTTCCTGGGTACAGGGTTCAGACTTTGTAACAGATTTTCAAATGTATCACTGACTCAAAGAAGATCAAGAGTCGCTGTCTTAGATAATTTAACTTATAAGTATCTCTGATTTGAAGAAAGAAAAAGCTGCACCTGCAAAGAAAGGAGCATAATGGCTCTTTCAAACTTATCTTATCTAACTTCTCAGGTGCTTTCCTAGAATCATTAAGTTGTTCAACTCACATCCATTTCCAAACTATATCTTGTCTCTGACTCTTCCCACTATTCTATGGCATTATTTTTAGATCTCAGATGATTTTATGAAAACAGAAAGGCAGTTACAAGATAGTCCACCCTCCCTGATTACAGTTTAGTGGAATCTTGGTTCCAAAGATTCTATTTATTTATTTATTTATTTTCTGAGGAAGATTTGCCTTGAGCTAACATCCATTTCCAATATTTCCCCTTTTTTTCTTTTTATGTGGGCTGTACCACAGCATGGCCTCTAACAGAAGAATGGTGTAGGTCAGTGTCTAGGATTCAAACCCAGGTACCCTAAGTGAAGGGCACTGAACGTAACCGCTAGGCCTCTAGGGCTTGCCCCCGAAGGAGATTTTAAAAGACATGTACTCCAGCATCCTCATTTGGTGTATGAAGCCTCATGATTCAGGGACTTCTTCAAGCACTGATTAACATCAGAGCCATGTGTGAGGAGAATTTTCGTTTCACCATATCGAGAGATAGCAGTTTTCACCAGTTTTGTCTATTTCTGATTCTCATATATTTGTGAATTCTAGGAAGTTAAAACATGAAATTAAGACATTTCAGAGGATAATGTACTCATAATGCCAATTTACTGTCTTTTGTCCCCAAAGAGAATGAGAATGTTTATTGAAGGGAATTGTTCATTTAAGTTTAGTAATCATGCGTGGAAGACAGATTAACTCAACATGATGATTTAAGTTGTATATTTAGTCAGCTGCATGACTGGAAAAAGACGAAGAATACTTGTTTTTGTTTTTTGAGAATGAAATAATTTCCATCTGTCATCTTTTTGTCAGTAGATGACACTAACCATGTCCATGGAAAGGAATAGAAATGAGACTTCTGTGTCCACGTTTGTTCTCCTGGGACTTTCAGATGAAAAAGAGGTGCAGCGTGTACTATTCCCAGTCTTTCTAGGGATCTACCTTATGACTCTAATCTGGAACCTGGGTCTTATCATCGTAATCAGGATGAACTCCCACCTGCACACGCCTATGTACTTTTTTCTCAGTTTCCTATCATTTTTAGACATCTGTTATTCTTCTTCAAATAGCCCAAGAATGCTTTCAGACTTCTTAAAAGATGAAAAAAACATTTCCTTCATTGCCTGTGCCACCCAGTATTTTATTGGGTGCTGGATGGGTCAGGCTGAATGCTGCATCTTGGCCACCATGGCCTATGACAGATTTGTTGGTATCGGTAGGCCTCTGCAGTACTCGAGCATCATGGCTCCTGGCCTCTGTCATAAGTTGATTGCTGGGGCCTATGGGAGTGGTTTCCTTGGTAGCTTAGTTCAAACAGTTTCTTGCTTTCGTCTCTACTACTGTGGGCCCAATATCATTCCAAATTTCTACTGTGATGTAACCCAGATTATTTCTTTGTCTTGTTCTGATTCCTACATCAGCCAAATGATTCTGTCTCTCGAATCTATTCTTGTTGGGTTTGGTTCCTTCTTGGTAATCATCTTATCTCATGCAATCACTGTAGCTTCCATCCTGAAACTATCTTCCATCAAAGGTAGTGCCAAGGTCTTCAATACCTGTGCCTCCCACCTAGTAGTTGTGACAATCTTCTATAGCACAAGCCTCTTTATGTACCTGCATCCTAACTCTAGCCACTCCAAGAAGCAAAACAAGGTGCTGTCAGTGTTCTATGTTATCCTAATCCCCATGTTAAACCCCGTTATCTATAGTTTCAGGAACAAGGAGATCAAAGAGGCCCTCAAGAGGATGACAAAGAGAGTAACACATTTATCTCCATAAAAACAATATTTGGGCAGGTGTTATTTCCCCTATAAGGAAAATAGAGATAAGAACATGTAAGAACTTTTTGTAGGTCATACAACAGCTAGATAGAGAGAAGTGAAAAACTCACTTCTTGATTCCTGGTGCCATCATATTTAGCTCACACTACCAAGCGATCAGTTTGAGGCAGTGTATGACATTGAATCTAGTTTAAAAGTTTGTTCCCAGGATTATACCCACGTAGGTAAACCCCATATTTTGAGAACAGAGGTTCTGATAGACATTATATGCAGAGATAGACAAGAACCTAGGAATCCACACAGTCTTTCTCCTATGATTTTTAAAATGTCTTTTATTCATTTTCAACTGTTAAGCTTTTATATGTATTTCAATAAAATAAAATAATGTATAAAATCAAGTTGTGAAACTTAAAAATTATTTTAAAATGAGTACTTTTAATCTCCACCTCAAAGAGGGAGAGAGAGTGAGTATGAGAGGGAGGGACACAGAAAGAGAGAGATAGAAAGACTGAAGGAAAGACAGAGAAAGATAAAATATGACAGGAGAGGAGAAGAAGAAAGATTGATCTGGCTTTATTCCCAAATAAGCTTGTTCCTTCCATCTTACTCATTGAGCCTCCTTGTGAAGCGAATTTTGAAAAAGGTATGGGTGAAAGGAATGGTAGAAAGAAGGGGCACAATAAGGTCAAGAGTTAGAGAGATTCTCAGAGGCTAGAAAGAAGTCAAAGTCATCAACTTCTGGTCATAGTTGGCCTGTAGCCTGCTCTATGGTAGCTTACCAGAGACCATGCAAGACCTCAGAAATGCAGGCTGTCATGGTGTGTCTAGGGAGACAGGATCTGAGTCCCAGAGATCTGAGTCTCCCAAATATTCCTGGACCTTAAGTTTGACCAGGGAGCAGCAAAGCCAGTTTACTTGGGGGTATGATGTAGACTCCAGTCCAACTAAGAGAATTTAAAGAACATTTAAATGGACATATACTTTTAGAGGAGAATTTTTTTACTTTTTACTTTTTTAAAGATTGGAACCTAAGCTAACAACTGTTGCCAATCTATATTTTATTCTTTCTGCTTTTTTCCCCAAATCCCCCAGTACATAGTTGTATATTTCAGTTGTGGGTCCTTCCAGTTGTGGCACGTGGGACGCCACCTCAACGTGGCCTGATGAGTGGTGCCACGTCCATGCCCAGGATCCAAACCAGCAAAAGCCTGGGCTGCCACATCGGAGTGCACAAACTTAACCACTCGGCCAGAGGGCTGGCCCCTAGAGGAGAATTTAAATAGTAAGCTTCACATATATTACATTAGTATTTATACAATACTCTACACTTCATATAGTTAAATTGCATGGATGTGATTTTTTTCTATTACCATATGAAGTTGGCAGTTGAGAAATTATCCACATTTTACAGATAGAAGCTTTGAGCATATTGAGGTCTTCCATGTTCTTCCCAGAGTAGCCACAATTCATCTTAAGTCTCACAAAATTTAATTTGTGGAGCATAGATGCTTCTTATTGACCAGAAACATGCTCTCCATGGTTTGAATGGGTGCCCTAATTCTATACTTTTGGTGTTATATTTTTAAAAACATCTTAAGAATCTGTTCAATTTAAAAGATTAATCTATTACAGTTCTTACTTGTGGGAATATCTGACTACTAACCTATTAGGAAGAGTTAAATTAAATAATTAACTCATTGCCCCACCCACCACTCTCTCTCTAGAATTAATATTAACTGAAATAGAGCAAACCAAGAATGAGACCTTCCTAAAACATCTCTGTTTCCCTAGTAATGGCAGGGTAGATGATCTCCACCAAAAAAAAAAAAAAAAAAGACAAGAAACGTTTGTGAGAATGATCTTAAACAGATATTTTTTAATGAAGGATTAGTAATGCAGCATAATATGTTGTAAAGAACTCCAATTCAGAACACACAAATTAAACCTGCTATTAATGGGAGGCATGCTGTGTACCTCACAGGCTAAGTGCTTTATGAGCATTATCTGATTTGATTCTATGAAAAACTGCTGTATGAAGTAGCTACTATTATTAGCCCCATTTAATAGGTGATATATACTTAGGCTTGGAGAGGTTCATTTGCTCAAGGTCACACAACCAATAAATGGAAAGCTGGAATTCCACCCAGATTGGCTGACACCAATGCCCATGGTATTAACCACAATAAGTCATGGCTCTATCATGAATTAGTTTTATTGTATTCCTTTTTGCTGTGATTTCCTCACTTATGCATAGTAAATCACACCCATGTATGCCTCATAGGACTGCTGAGATGATTGATTCAGGTTAGGTATTTGAGAAAGTGCATGTTATGTATTTGTCTAAAATGAAAGTGCTTTGTAAAAGTGTCCACATATCTAATTTACTGTGTCAGGTTATATTACCAGCCAGCTGTGTCATCTTGGGCAAATCTCTTAGATCCACTGGCTTCTAGTCCCCACCTGGAAATTAATGGTATTGAAACAGATGATCACTAGGTCCTTTCCCCCCACAAATGATTCCAAGTTCATTAAAAGAAAAGCTATAATCATGAGATCATAGTAGGACCATGAGGAAGTGTGGAATTGAATTAGAAGGGACATGGCAAAGTGGGGCATGAAAAATTAGCAGGGGAATAATTCCATGGTAAACATGACTGCAGAGAGCAAGAGCCTGGGGAGTTTTCTCCCTCTAACTCTTTTCCCTTTTAAGTGGGAAGTGTTTCTTAAAATATTTTTTACTTTATTTTTTTAAAAAAGATTTTTTTTTTCCTTTTTCTCCCCAAAGACCCCCCCCCCAGTGCATATTTGTATATTTTTCGTTGTGGGTCCTTCTAGTTGTGGCATGTGGGACACTGCCTCAGCGTAGTTTGATGAGCAGTGCCATGTCCGCACCCAGGATTCGAACCAACGAAACGCTGGGCCGCCTGCAGCGGAGCGTGAGAACTTAACCACTCGGCCACGGGGCCAGCCCCTACTTTATTTTTTTTAATTGCGGCAACATTGGTTTATAACAAGTGGGAAGTGTTTTGTTTTGCTTTTCTCTTCCTCCCTCGGTGTGGGGCCCTGCCCGTCTTCCTGTTCTGCACTCGCCTCCAAGCTCTCTGTATTGGGGTGGGCCAGACACCTGTAACAAATTGGACTGCGCAGATCATGTCTTAAACACAGGATTTCATTTCCATCTCATGCAACAGGCCAGGGTGTATGTTCCCGGTCAGACAGAGGAGGAGGAGGGGATGGTAAGGAAGATCTGTTCCGTTCAGTCTCGCAGGGACCCAGGCTAGTGGGGCTCTGCCGTCTCCAGCACATGGCTTCCAAGGTCTACCTGTCACCTTAATGTGGCTGGCTGAATAACGGCCCCCGAGAATGTCCATTCGGCAATCGTCAGAACACGTGAATATTACCTTATATGGAAAAAGGGACTCTGGAGATTCTCCTGGATTATCCGGTTGGGTCCTGAGTGTGATCACAAGGTCCCCACAACAGGGAGGCAGTGAGAGATTCCACCACAGAGAGGAGTAGATGTGACAACACAAGCCTGTTATTCTCAGTGACTCGAGCAAGAGGCCCCGAGGCACGGAATGCAGGTACAGGTGGCCTTCAGAAGCTGGAAGGGGCAGCGGGCTCTTCCTTGGGGTCTCTCTTTGGCCTTGACTTTGGCCCAACGAAACTGATTTCAGACTTCCGGCCTCCAGAACTGTAAGTATCTGCATTTTTTCAGCCACAACCTTGGTTGTAATTTGTCTCAGCAGCAACGGGCACGGATCCATCTTTGCCGTCATCCCAACCTATGGTAAGGGGGAAGCCGTGCGGGCGTTTTTACGGGCCAGAAAGCGGTGCATATCCTCCTCTCTGATGTTCCATTGTGAGATCCTGGCTATGTGGCCGCACCCGTCACCTAGAGAAGCTGGGAGATGTGGAGCTGGGCAGCCAGAGGCCCAGTGAGTCCAGAAGGAGGGCAGGGGATCCACTCTCTGCCACACCGAGTTATCCCGCCCTGCGTGGTGGTGTGGATGCCACAGCGGCTGGCCCGCTGGGGTCCTGTGTGGGCTGGGCAGGTTGTCCTCACTGCATTTGCCTTTTCGGCTCCTTGGACCAGGGTGGGCGCCCCAGGCCCAGCAGGCCTACAGCCTCAGTCCCCCACGTCACATTTCTATTCACTTCCGGTCCACAGAGACATTCAACTTGTTTTTGAGCACGGCTAAACCTTTTCGCTTTCCAAATTTGACGTTGTATCTGTCATGCTACTTGGCCAGCCAGTCTCTGCCACACACTCTCCTGACACGGTGTGTCAAAGGGGAGACGGGCGCCGCCTTTTGCCTTTTCGCCGGATGTGACTCTGAAGCAGTCTGTTCTCCATAGAGAGGCTGGATGGATCTGGGTGTCACAAAACGCTCACGCCACCCTCCCGCTGAAAGCCCCAGTGAGCTCTGGCTGTCCTCATTTGTGAACGCGGGAGCAACAATACCCACCTCACAGAGAGAAAGTAATGAGTGGCTGCTTGCGGGAGCAGGGGAGCGGGGCACAGGGGTTGACTGCTAACAAGGTGGGCTTCTTTGTGGGGGGATGAAAATGTTCTAAAATTAGGTCG